AGATGTAGGACTCATTAGACGAATCGTGATATAATATATATATAATCACATCAGAAAAGAGGCGCAGCCGCATATGAACACACGCACGCTTGCGCTAGATTGCGACACACAGCCAAACCCGTTTAGGTTTCTGTTTCATCCCCAACACACACCTCATGCCGCCGTCCCTCTTGCTATAACTCGAGTGACTTCGAGCGTACGGTAACACAGTGAGCGCCGGGGAAAGGCAAGGGGGCATGTGCTACTGCTGTAGTGTATGTCAACCGTGCGTTTTAGTCTAGTCTACATCGGTAGTGGAATAGATCTTGCAGGGGTGTGTGAGTTGCAAAGGGCGGATCCAACGATCCAGGCTGAAAAAAAATATCGGCACAACTCCGCCTGCTGCTAGCAAGTTGCCGCGCGGCTGCGCCGCGCACTACAGCACTGCTGTAGCCCTTGCCTACTGCTTAGATCCATCAGCAACACCTTTCTATATGGACCTTATCTGTCTCATCTGTGTTCCACAGGTGATCGGCAGGGATCTTGTCCTTGTCAACGAACTCGCCAAAGTCCTTGTAGGACGTCTGCAGGCGAGTCTCGTCGTCATTCATGATTATGTTGGCCTCGTAGATGCGGGCGCTGCGTTCCGACAGCGCAGGATGCCTCTTGAAGAAGCCGTCCAGCCATGATCGCCCCGGGTCGACTGCTGCATCCCACGGGATATCCCGACCGTCGTTGCACAGCTGGCGCACATGTTCTTGCAGCGCGGTCCGGTCGATCCCGATGAAGTGACGAGCAGCGTACAGCAGTGCATCTTCAACAAAATTTTCCTCCTCGACTGTGAGCACAGTCCTTGGACCAACCTTTGCATCCATGCTTTCATCACCGCTCAGCCGGCGAGAGAGAGAGCGCTTGTTCACGCCATAGGCCTGTGCAGAGCAGCCCGGAGAGACATTGCGCCGCTGCGGACAGCCTCGATGGCCTTCTGCACCTGCTCTGGGTCCACCTTAGATCTGACCATCCTTAGCAACAGGAGCGGCCAAAACGCCAACCTTGCAGTATCCGCCGACGGTGGTGGTTATGGCGCTANTGGACCAACCTTTGCATCCATGCTTTCATCACCGCTCAGCCGGCGAGAGAGAGAGCGCTTGTTCACGCCATAGGCCTGTGCAGAGCAGCCCGGAGAGACATTGCGCCGCTGCGGACAGCCTCGATGGCCTTCTGCACCTGCTCTGGGTCCACCTTAGATCTGACCATCCTTAGCAACAGGAGCGGCCAAAACGCCAACCTTGCAGTATCCGCCGACGGTGGTGGTTATGGCGCTATATCTCGGGAGTGGCGCAGCTGATTCGTGCGTACAGATGCTCAAACGCAAGCTAACGGTGTGCTTTTCAAAAAAAAAAAAAATGGAGCTCCATGTATTTGGCGGAAAGTTATGACGGTTACAAAAAAAGTGGGGCTAATAAAATAAACTGGCTCCTGGGGCTTAATAGGGACATCTACTCTACATACATTTGCGCTGGGTTTCGTCCACATCTGTGGCCCTATAGATCTACTGTACGGAAAGATGCGGTAAAAACTGCCGGCGTTTACATGATGGCGCCAACACACCGAACAGAACCTTCCTCTAAATTTTGCCCCGAGGCTCGCGTTCTTTTCCAACAACGACAAAATAGGATTTTCTGTTGGTCGATCGAGATGTTTACTCAACAAAGAGATGAATTGTTAACCGAAGAACAAAAAAAGACAACGTTCAAGTTGTGCATCACGAAAAGTTGATGTAGTTGGGTGGTGGCGTCTGTTGGATTGCCGTAGGTCCCATGCTCGGCTTCTTGTGCCCCTTTCACATCACACGAGAAGAAGCCTTCTCCTGCACCTTGGTATCCATGATTGATTATCGTTCTCCATCTCATCATCTGCCATTTACCACAGAGCCGCCAAGCGCTGCCCTTGTAGTTTGCCGCCCCTTGGGGAAAAGTCTTGTCAACTCACTCAAGTTTCACCCTGATTAAAGCAATCTCTGTCCATCAGCAACCTTCCTAAAGCTCACTATAGAGTAGGACTATTACCGCTGTGACTGCTAAGAACGCAAACATCATTACTGGCCCCGGATAATGAGAGACAATGAGACATGTGCGTTCAGGCCAAGGGCTACAAGCAAACCCGACTAGCTATATAGATGTCCTACGTAAGGAACTAATGAACACCACGCACGAATGCAAGCGAAACAGCGGGCAAATCACCTTCGTTCCGTCCCCTCCAAATAGCATTAGCGACCACAATAAAAAAAGTCACCCAGTGTGACAGATGACAGAGAAACCGCTGGAACTAGATATCGTTACAAATATCAAACAATCCGCCATCCAATACCCATAGATACAAGAGGTGGCTGTTTCCTTGTTACCATCCCAAAATAAAAGCCGAGTGAAGACGCGATCGGTGCCATGAGGCCGGGCGGAAGCAGTATGCCCCTGCCCTGCTCTGCCCTGTCCAACGATTCGCAAGGGCCACAGCAACAACCGCAGACTTTCCAACAGCGACCCCAAGGGCGTTGGTGCCGTGTGACACGTAATATCCCTGCCATGACCCCAACTAGACTCCGACAACACTTCTGTTCTATCCACCCAGAATGCACGCTACAAACACTGACGCCATGACGTTAGGCGCACCCTTGTCCTGCACCAACCAGACTCCGACGCCACTTCCAACATGCACGCTGCAAACAAAAAGTCATCCTGACGTTTGCCACGGCGGCTCTGCATACTATATATAACCTCTGACAGTCACTTCCAACATGCACCCTGCGAACACTAAATAGTTCCACCCTCGTCCTGCGTGACAAACCCTGACACCCAACAGCATCCAGACAATGACAGAGGAAATGCCTCCTCCTCCACATCAGGACCTACACCGCCGAGACAAACGAACATCATCACTACCCACCCAACACCTCTATCACCAGAGCTGTACATTCTGCCGGAGTGCCACCGCAGCGAGCGGCTGCTACCGCTCGGAACCACGTTTGCTGCCTGCGCGCGACGCCGACAGCTTCAACAAGAACCCATGCCTGGCTGAAAAGAACGAAACACACCGACGGCCCCAAGGAAATTTTCGAACATGGCTGACGTCATTGACACCATTCGGCCAATCAGCGGCGCCAATGGAAAAACTGCGGGCGCATACCGCCGGAGGGCCGGCTACCAAGCCAACCTACCGGGCTCTATGTACGTAGAACATTATAGACAGGTCTCAGGCAGAGGTGGGTGAGAGCAAATAAGAGCGAGCGCTTGATGTGCCGGCTCTCACCATCCCCTGACCTGTTGGTGCACACGTGCTACGTCGCACATGTAGTCTCCCGACTTGGCGTACGGGGACCGCACCGCCGCGGAAATGTCTGACGACAGCATGAGGGGGTAGACAAAAGAGACGAGAATCAGTATCAGCCTCTGAGAGAAAACACAAGACGGCCACTGAACTGTCTTGTCGAGCATGTTACCCGCACGGGGGAGATACCGCTATAACGTATCCTGGTCGGGGTACGGTAGGACTACACTACAATAAGGTGGTCACCATACCACGATAATTCATTGTTAGTCAACCACGGACTCTTTCATCTGTGGAAGATACGCATCTTTCTGTTTGCAAGAAACATTTTACAAGAAAAACACGGAAAACAGATCGTGGAACGAATGCACTCCAAATGTACCAAGGCGGGTAATGTTGGCAATGAAGCTGGAAGGGGCTGCCATATCGCACTACAGTAGTACCGTTGGGTTTTTCACGTGACAGCGATATTTTCGCTCCCAACACTAGCATTGTTACTACATTGGGAAGGCGTCGATAATGCCCGGTTGATTAGCGCCGGTGGCCCTGCACAAGCGCCGGGTGACATTGCCGGGCACAGACTGAATCACCCAAGCCAGCTTGTCCAATGAATACTGTGGCGCCCGCCGATGAGCCGAGTGTTGTTGTGGGCCCCTCACTGTAGTAATATGTAAACCTTCCCAAGTATATTCTACCTACCCACACCCCGACAACCATGAGCATAGACGAGAAACTTCCTCACATTTTCTCGCGAGCACGTCGTCGCCCTTCGCCTCCGAGTAGAGACCCAGGTACAGGTTCACGTAGAAATACGGGGCCCCCGAGCCCGCGACGCCGTTGCTCCCTAACGAGACCTCCATCTGCTTAGCGAGGTCGCTCTCCGAAGCATCGCCCTTGAACAGCGAGTACGCCGCGCGCATGTATGGACGTCGCTCGCTGACAAGAGAGGCGCAAAGCAAGGGAGTTCACGGTGATGAGGGGAGACGGAAAAATCCGGGGGAGGGGGGTCAGTTTTGTGGTTCATATCTTCCCCGCGTACCGGTACTTGCCGTTATATACAGCAGCAGGGCAAGCCACAATCAAAACAAAAAAATGTCATGGAAGCGCGAGTGTGATTTAGCAACATACAAACGCGGTGTGTGCGCAACGCGCCCATCACCCTGCTCCGACACTACATGGAAGCGTGGACAACTTCAACATGATTTGAAATGCATGAAAGCGCCCGGCGTTACATCCTACTGTTAAACGTACGGCGCCGCTGAATTTCTGCTGATTGGCCGAGAACAATCCTTGGGAGTGGGGAGTGTAACGACCTCGCGTCGTTCGTCTCACTTTGATATCTTCACGAGCCTCTGCTTCGCCGTGGCGAACCCAACGCTTGGTATCCTCGACTCGCACATGAACGTCCAGATCGCCTCTTCGGTGTCGTTAGGATTCAACGCGCTGCACCATACAAAGCGGGTGAGCGATGCGGTGTAGGGGGTCAGAGGGGGTGTTGATACACGTGGCAGGCGAGAGGTGAGCATCACACACAGGACGCGGGAAAATATCGAAGTTGGTTGCTAGAAAAACGCTGGATTTTGTCCCGTCTCTCACGAGACGAAGCGCGGAGAAGACGCCGATGCTACGATATATATAGCGCATGCATTAATCCGGTCCAGAAAGGTGTTGGTGGAGCCAAACAGGAAGCGGAGAATGTGCGGAAAAAATACACGATTGATCGGCCAAAGCTTGTGCGCGAGCTTGTCTGCGTTTTCGTCCTGCAGTTTGTTTTGGCGCCAGCGTCAAATAATCTGCATCACTCCCATCACAAGCGCACAGGTGGGAAGTTTGGCGTAGTTCGACAGATAAAGCATGCATGCTCTTGGAGGCATTGTGGTCCATTCCCGTGTGTCGTAGTTGCACCTCGACAGTGTGTAACGCCTGCGAGACTGGGTCGTACGTTTTGTTGGGGGTAAAACACCCACGCGTTCACTGGCACCACAAAACAAACCGAGGTGTGGCGGGAAGGAACAGCCGAAAGTTGCAAAACAACAACAGCAATGGCAACCGCAACCCTACGCATAGGTAGATACGCTCTGCATTTCTTTCCCTGATTGCATTTTACTCACACGTCTTTGCGGAACTGCCGGGATCCCTCCTCAAATTGGTCGGCTGTCCAGGCCAGGTCGTTTTTCGAATCCAAGATGCAAGCATTTAGATGCATCGCGTCGCGTCACATTGGTAACCAAAACACGAATGACGTGTCCCATCATCCCATCAAAAACGAAAAAGACGGAAAAGAAAGAAAAACATGTAGAATAGTAACAATCAAGGGGCAGAGAGCGGATGGGACAGTGGAAGAAAAAAGGAAATCAGGAGAAGGGCAAAAGAAACGGGATATGGAACGGCCTTCGAGTAGCAGCGCATGCGCGTTATAAAAATACAATACTTCGGAAGTATGTTTTTGTTATTTGGGCATGTACATACAATGGGTTCGAGTCCCGGCAGCGTGAGTTTTTTCTCACTATATAAATCCTGGCCAAGGATGAAAGCGACGCGCTGCAAAGTTCGTTGTTAGTAAACCATAATCGACTTCGTAAGTCACGAGGGAAGGGATTGCTGTACATTTCTCGCGATGACAATATCTCAGGCAGGAACCGCAGGAGGGGGTCCAACCTCCCTCTCCTACGTGACCCCGGTTGGGTCGTCTAGCTAGTAGAAGTGGAGGATAGGGACCAGAGGGGCAGACGACAGAGTCCAATGATGGGAGAAAAAAAAAAGAACATAGGAGACAACTACAAAATAAAAACCTTACTTGCACCGAAAGACTTGTTTTCAAAACTGTCGAAAAGCTTTTCATTCATTGGGTAATACTGAAAACCAAAAAAACTGACGGAAGAGCAAAATGCACGTACGTATTCATACTTTCCGGTAAACCAAATCGAGCTCTGTGCAAATATCCGTGCGTCAGGCCCAGACTGCTGGATACTGCATGAATGCATGTTGCAATGTACATGAAACCTAAAAATCTTCGTCGAAATGTACGCAAAGTGCATGCGAAAATTAATACGAACAAGAAGCCCGTTCGAGATATCATAGTTCATGGGGTAGTTGTACACATCACAACCCTCCAGTTCGATGGGATTTATAATAGCTGCTGCTGTTGGACTACCGGACTGCACATCCTCTACAGGTACAACCCTGCGGTACGGTTTGAGGGACATGCAAACAATCTCTAAGCTTTCGTTGCAGAAGCCTGCTTTCGAACTTGGACCTGTGTATTTTACGCTGAAAAGCAAGGATGACGTCAATTGTAGCAAAGGTGTACTGCTGTATCGCTTTTGTGGAAAAGGTCAAAAAAGCGGATACAAGGATACAGTACTAATACTCCAGAACACACCCGGTCGTCCCGGTGGTCTAAATAGTGGTATCCTCGTAATCCGCTAGTCGCAGAGGTCGCGAGTTCGAGTCCCCATGGGGTGAAAAATTTACGAATTTTGCCGGTGAGAGCGAAATATAGTTAGAAAGCTCTCGTGAGTACCAGACTTCAAATTCAACGCTAGCACCGTTGACGAAGGAAAGGATTGGCTGGACCCTTCTCGCGATAAAAATAAAATGTAGGACGCACCGCAGGAGGAAGGTGGGGCATGAAAAGAAATAAAAAGAAGAAAAAAGCCCTGGTGTGTTTACCCCCTCCTGTGCGACCCTGGATGGTTGTAGTTGTACGAAAAAATACACTGAAGTGTGTAGTACTCTACATACGCTGAAATGCGTAGTACACGTCTCACCACGAAAAATGGGGAGGCTGTCGCCATAAAGAATAGGACGAAAAACACACACACACACCCCGGTAAAAAATCCTCGGCCCATTGCCCATTGTTTCTCAACACCAGTGGCCGCCTGACACCCATGGGCGCATACTGCTATAATTGCATTCCTTTTCTATTCGCAAGGCAATTTGAAGTTCCGAGTGGCCCAACAGAACAACAGCGGAAGCAAGGCGAAAGCTTGTGCTGTCGCTGCATGTGCCTTGCATGTGTTCCTCGTATGACTGGCGCCGTCTCCAACCCACCAAGCCAGTACTTAGACCAGGAAACGCGTGCATTCTCTCCGTAAAGTCAGTAGAACCGCCCAAACATGTGTACGCATGTACGTACGCATGCATACGTATGACATATGACGGGACCTGGCCTGACACTAAGAGAGCGGAAAACAACTGTTCTAGAAAAATGCGGATTTACGACGTACCAAACCGGTAAAAGGCTGACGACACTTCTCAACCTTCACATCAAGAAGCGAGTGCAATCACTGGGAGGCTACCTACTACGTTCGAGACAATTCCCCAGCAGTGGTCGAAGTGGATATTTCGCAGTGAGTGCGGGGAGAAAGCCTGAAGGATACATACAGGATCTCGTTGGCTGAGAGGCTGACGACGCCCATGACCCTAAAATCTTCAAAAAATGGCAAGTAGTCCGCGTCCTCGCTCGAAGTGGAAGTGACATCCTGCATGATACGACGACACTTCAAAAAGCGTTCAAACGGCACCGATATATAGCACTGCTCACCACAGCTACTGCACAGGGACACGTCAAGGCCTGCTGCTAGGCCCCGCTCTCTCCCCTACCGCAACATTGCGGGGTACGGCGGCGGCGAGAGCAGAGCACGCAACACAGCAACCTCAAGAAATTTCCAAGCAGAGACCACCGCAAAAATCGTTGCACGGTGTGAGCCTCGAACCAGCAGCCACATTAATCAAACAAACGCTCCGACGCCTTTGCTATTTCCGTGCCTCACCGTAGTACAAGCTGATGCCCCTCTGCCACATGTAGGCCTCCAGGCGAGGCTGGAGGCTGATGGCGCGATCGAAGTCGCTCACGGAGCCTGCCACCTCCCCTCTCCTAAACCTCTCCATCCCCTATTTTGTTGGCAGCAGCACAAGCAGCAAGCGAAGAGATCCACGCACTTCGGTTACATGATGTCGAGCTTGTTTCGCACTCAACGGCCGTCACCCTTGTAACGATACTCCTGTGGTGGAGCCATGCGGAGCAGAAGACGCCCTTGCCACCAGCTGAGGGGTGTAGGTAAACAGTCTTTTTCGCCCACGGCTAACAGCATGGTGGGCATGCGGCCCCTGCCACCAGAGAAGACCAGAAGTGCCGTGCATGGGTTCCGATTCTTCGCCGGGTCGACAACCACGCCGCCGGACAAAAAAATAGCCACGGACAGCCAGCTCCTCCGACGGCGTTGTCTTTTTTATAGCTATGTACCAACAACCTACTCACCCTGCCGACGAAAATCTTGTAGTCTCCACCGTCGTAGGCCTCGAAGTCCTCGTGGGTAGTAGTCATCGCCGTCAAAGCCGAGGTGCTACTGCTGGTGATAGCTTGAACTGGTTGAAGTTGCCTACCGAAGAGGCCCGTCGGCGGTGTGATCAGCAGGGAAAGAGGAGCTGCAGCGCTAGCGAGAAGCGGGAGTCTCGAGCACAGATGAAGCAACACTGCAGCTGCTGACACCAAGGACGCGTTGGTCATCAAAGGTGGAGGGTTCGGGGTAGCGCCTTTGCGACTCGGATTGATGTTCCAACCAAAGTTGATTGCGCTGGGGCGGGTGTGTGACGGAGGCAGCACCAGGCGGGCACACGACCAAATGAATCTACTTGTGTGGTCGAGGGAGGGAGAGAGCTCCTCCCATCATTTTTAGATTCGTGCGTGTGTTTTCGAATGGAATCTTTGATGTAGTATTTTCAGTTCTG